CTCCAAACCAAACAAAACCATAAAGAAAACAAAGCCAAAATGTACCAAATCCGCCCCAAAAAGGGTGACTCGAACGAATCCCGATAATTAAGAATGGGATGATAATTAAGCGAGCGGCGCATGCGCAGTGGCGTTTCCAGCTCAGTGCTGCCGTCCTGTGGGGAACGCTCGGTACTGCGAGTCGGAKTTTYCCCCTTTTCTCGGRTTTGTAGGGGTTAAAATGARCATTTTGGGGTAAAATCKGAGTTAATCKGCKCGGSAGAAAATGAAAAWTTTGARGCAAAATTGAGGTGATGTTTTGGAGGTAGAATCCGAGTTAATCCACTCAGGAGAAAACGAAAAATTTGAGGTAAAATTGAGGAGACTCATAGGTGATGTTTTGGGRGTAAAATCCGAGTTAATCTGCACGGGCGAATATGAAAATTTTGAGGTAAAATTGAGGTGATTCACAGGTGATGTTTGGGGTAAAATCCGAGTTAGTCTGTGAGGGAGAGAATGAAAAATTTGAGGTAAAATCAAAGCGATTCATAGGTGACGTTTTGGGGTAAAATCCTAGTTAGTATGTGAGGGAGAGAATGAAAAATTTGAGGTAAAATTGAGGCGATTATAGGTGATGTTTTGGGGGTAGATTTGGGGTCATCTGTAGGGGACAGGTCAGGAAAATTCAAGGGATGAAACTTTTAAGAGATGGAATGAACATTTTTTTTTGGGGGATGTGAGGTAAACTGTAGGGGAGGGAGCGAACATTTTGGGTTTATAATTTGAGGGGACGGAGAACACCTTGGAGGGAAAGGCATTGGTGAATTTGTCAGGGGGGCAGGGTTAATATTTTGGACAGATATTGAACTCTAGAAATACGTTAATTTTTATTTTATATATATGTATATATATATATATATATATATATATAAGCAAAGTATCTGAAAACACTCCATAGAAGGCTACAAAACCTGGGTGCTCTGGAAGTCAGGAGTGATCGTGATTTTTTTTCTGGTTCTGTTTAGGAAATTGCTCGGGTGGACACTGATTTTTTAAAATATCCTTCAGCTCTCCCGATTGAAGTAAAAGCATCATTCCCCTCTCTAACTTCCATCAATCCACGGTCAGTATTCATTCTTGGACAATTAACCTCCGGAATTTACACAGGAAATGCTGCCTGGTGGTTCCAGAATATGTCTGAGTGAGTTTTTTTTGTGATTTTCGAGCAGCTCGTGGTTCCTGCTGCCTCAAAAAATCCCGGGAACTGAACTGCTTGGGATATTTGGGGAGAAATGCGACATAAAAGGTTAAAAAGGACGGCAGAAATGAGATAGAACGGACCGGTCCCATGACGGTTTAGCTTTGAAAAAAGCACAAATAATGGAATTATAACCCCTGGCTCCCGCAATTCCCTCTATGGCCGCGGTTTCCCGAGCGAGGAAATTTCTGCAATTTCCACTTTTTCCAGCCGGCGTCACTCCCGGGTCAGGCAGAACTTTTCCAGCCGCGCATCCTGGAGGTGTCTCGGGGAAAAAGCAGCAGAACCTAATTTTTATCACCTCTGCAGATCCTAATTTTATGATTTTTTTTGTAATTTTTTTTCCTTTGTTTAGTTTTCCCCCTGCTCTGAGGTTTCTCTGTGATGTGCTGAGCTCTGGCTCCTCTGTTCTCCTCATGTCAGATCCCACGTGTGAGTTCCTGAAAAGCTCAAAAAAAAGGGCAAAACTTCTTTTATAATTCAGAGGAAGRAATTTGGGGCTCCATCCTTAATGAGTTTCCATGGCAAAATTACTAAAACTAATCGTAAATAGCGTTAAATTGTAATTATCCAAAGGTTTTCTATGAAAAATTRGTTTGGAAAAGGTTCCCTGACTTGGGTTTCCAACTGAATTTTGAACTGAGTTATCTTGGGCAAGACAAATTTCTGCCCTTAATCCCAGGCATCCACTCAGAGCAGCTGAAATGGTGAAAAATTTGATTTTCAGATCTTAGGAGGCTCACTCAGGGTTGGTGATGAGGAAAAAAGTTTCTTTTATGAATGCCCATCAAAAATAGGATTTAAATGGGGTTCTCTSCACCCCTATGAGAACACATGGGCTCAAATCACTCAAACTCACAATATTTTTGCTTTTTCAATGAGCTACTTTATGGATTACAGAAAAATAAATGATTGGCATTTACAGCTGATTCTTTTAAATGGAATATTAAAAAAAATCAGAGCACAGGAGATTTTATGGAGCGGCATGAAATGAATTAAAATGAAATCTCATGGAATGAAACGGAATTTTATGGAACAAAATGAATGAAATTTAATGCAATTGAATGAAATTTCAAAATTTCATTTAACAAAAGGAAGTTTCATTTTGTGTCATGGTATTACATGAATAATTATATTTAATGAAATGAAATGAATTGAAATGAAATGAAATGAAATGAAATGAAATGAAATGAAGTTTTATGGGGTCAAATAAAATGGAATGAAATTTTCAGTTTCATTTAAATCTGAAAAATTTAAAAAATTTAAATTCATTTAAATTCCATGAAACGGAATGAAATTTCATGGAATGGAGGGAAGTGAGATGGAATTTCATGAAATCAAATGAAAATTTTTTGGAATGAAATTGAATGAAATTTTGGAATGGAGCTGCACTGCTTCTGCCCGAAGGTGAAACTTTTGGGCTTAAAGCTGGGTTTAAACTGCAAGAGGACAGGGTTGGGTGGGATATTGGGAAGAAATTCCTGGCTGSGAGGGTGGTGAGGGGTTTTGACAGAATTCCCAGAGAAGCTGTGGCTGCCCCTGGATCCCTGGAAGTGTCCAAGGCCAGGTTGGATGGGCTTGGAGCAAACTGGGACAGTGGGAAGTGTCCTTGCCCATGGATGGGATGGGATTGATGGGATTTAAGGTCCCTCCCAACCCAAACCATTCTCTGATTCTCTGATATTCCTGTGTCCCTGCTTCCCTGCCCCTGTAGCTCATTAAGAGGCTTTTGGTGCCAGTTTGGGTTCAGCCACAGTGGATTCACCTTTATGGATCAGTTTTCCCCTCRTTTTTGTGCCTGGCTGACCCAGGACAGTTCTGATCCCGTTAACTTCGTGCTCCAGGTACCTGGAGTGGATAATGAAATTACATTATAAAATTAATGAAATTTAACCTGCCCAGCATTAAACGCTGGGAACTGCAGCTCTCTCTGTTGGAGGAATTAGGAAATGAAAAAACAAACAAATAGAAAAATAAAGATTAAGCAGGCAGCACATTCCTGATGGAGCCAGGTTTGAGGATAACCCTGTGGATGAATAAAATCATGAACACACCCGTGCCAGATCAGTGTTTGTGCAAATAAATCACACTTTCCACTGGTTCCACAGCATCCCTGGTTGTCCTGGGCTGTGCCTGGTGCCCATCCTGAGCCTCCCAGTGGGTGACAGTCACAGATGGGTTTGGTGCTTTATGGTGAAATAGTGATTTATTTTCTGCCTTCCCTCAAACAGACTTCCAGGTGAGAGCAGAATCCCTAAAAGAGCAGGGTTGATTTTGTTCAGTGCTGGACTCCTCTGAGATGAGAACTTCAGGAATTTGCATTTTGCCACGGGGAGAAACTCTGGCTGTCCTCCCACGGGAGGAGCCTGGTGATCGCAGCAGCTCCGGGGCAGAGCTTTGTGCAGCCTCTGACCCTAATCAGGATCGTGATTTATGGGATCATGGAGTCCCCTGAATTACTGAGCATCTGTCTGGGTCCTTCCAGACCCTGCAGTCAGGGCTGGCTTCTCCCAGGATTTACCAGGCTGGGGTGAGCTGGGTCTAATGAAGAGGCTCGGGGGGGTTGAAATCACGAAGAGATTTTATATCTGGATGGATGGATGGATGGATGGATGGATGGATGGATGGATGGATGGATGGATGGATGGATGGATGGATGGATGGATGGATGGATGGATTCATGGATGGATTCATGGATTCATGGATGGATTCATGGATGGATTCATGGATGGATTCATGGATTCATGGATGGATTCATGGATGGATGGATGGATTCATGGATGGATTCATGGATGGATTCATGGATGGATTCATGGATGGATGGATGGATGGATTCATGGATTCATGGATTCATGGATGGATTCATGGATGGATTCATGGATTCACTCCC